AGCAGCCCAGGGTGTCAGAGTGGCTTAGATGAAGGTTGTTTCCTCCTAACCTGCACCAGGTTCCTGTTTTCCAATATTCTGCACAGGCTTGTGCTTGTCATTAAATCTGAGAGAACACAGTGCCAGTTGGCCCCCTTCTGAAGAGACTTTGAGGATGCCATGAGGTTGTGACTGAGTTACTTCTTGGTGTTAAAAGACACAGCGATTCCATGACATTTCTTAAGGCTTTGGCAAGGCAGACTTCAAGCAGGACCATCTTGGCAGGTGCAGGGACTACTGCAGTGGGGCCTCACAGCTGGAAAGAGGGACTGGGTTCAACTCTGAACAATCAGGGACAAGTGGGAATTCATAGCAAAGAAGTAGAGCAGGGGTCAAAGGACAGGGAGTGACTAAGAGGAGATATCAGGGGTGAGAGGGAGTCTGGCTAAACCAACCTGCCAGGATTCTTGCTGAAGACAGGTTGGGGTGACCAGACATCCTTGCGGGGTGTTGGAGTAAGGAACCTCATCACATGTTGAAGGGGGGGGGTCCTAGCCAATACAGCTTAGCAGGGTTTTTACTAAAACGAGATTCTGGAGGAAGTACATGGAAGATCTCTGGAGGAGACTTAGGAGCCTGACCAAGGTTTGGCCGAGCAGAGCTGTGGGCATCTTTCCCCCAGATGTGAGTATAACTTGTGCTTAGGAAACATTTCCTGGTTTGGCAAGAAACCAAGCAACACACTGGAAGCATTATAAAGACCACGTGTGTCTGGATGATCCAAAGTTCAGCACTTGTGCAGTGATGCTGTGTGCTCCTGGCAGCCCTGCCTGTGGCACTGTGCAGCCACACTGCCCACCTGCAGGCCACTCTGCCCATGTGAGGGCCCGTGTGGGCTGCTCTGTCCATGTGAAGGTGATTGGTGGTCTGTGCAGCCATGGACACTTTCTCCATCTAGGACATTACCCTCACATCTTCCTGAGACTCCAGCCCCCAAGGAGGCTGTTCCAACTCATGTGTGAGGATTGCTCCCAAGCATGCTTTTTTCTCAGTAGTCAATACACGTAGCCTGGTGGCACAACTTGATCTTTCCTGCTCTCAAAATGTCTACATGAGACAGGCCTTGGCTGTTTCCTTAGCTGTTTAGTAAAAGTCACAGGTGAACCCACCTCAGCCTGAAATTCTTTTGTGAGATTATTTTAAACCAAAGACTAAATGTTTAAAATAGATACAGGACTATTAAGATTTTCTGTTTCTTCCTGTGTCTATTGAGTAAATTGTGCTTTCCTCAGAATTTTCCACTTCATATAGATTATCTAACCTATTTGTGTAGAGTTGTTCTCAGTCTTTTTTTATTACCTTTTTAACATGGTCGAGACAGTAACATATTTTGTGTTCCTGGTACTGGTTTTTCATGCCTCCTCTCTTCTCTTCTTTGTCATGTAGTTGTAAGTCCAGTTTGTTTGTTCAAAGTTTCAATGCTTATTAACTTTATTGTTGCATTAGTTTTTCTTTCCCTATTTTTATTATTATTTTCTTCTACTTTCATTGGATTGATTGATTGATAAATTGATTGAAACAGGGTCTTACTCTGTCACCCAGACTGGAGTACAGTGGCATGATCATAGCACACTGCAGCCTCAACCTCCTGAGCTCCAGCGATTCCCCCACCTCAGCCTCCCAAGTAGCTGGGACTACAGGCACGTATCACCATGCCTGGCTAATATTTTGTATATGAGGTCTCCCTATGTTGCCCAGGTTGGTCTCAAACTCCTGACTTCAAACAATCCTCTCATCCCGACCTTTGAAAGTGCTGGGATTATAGGTGTGAGTCACTGTACCCAGCCCATTGGATTTGATTTGCTGTTGTTTTTCTAGCTCTTTGAGATAAATGTTTACGCATTGATTTTAGCCTTTCGTCTTTCCTCATATACTTAGGATATACATTTTTAAACAAGATTTAGTGGTATGCCATAAATTCTTAGATGTCATGATTTTGTCAGGCTTAAATAAGTTATCTGTATTATAAAAGCAGTATCTGCTCACTGCCCTAAACTTGGAAATCAGGAAAATAGAGTGGAAATGACAAAACAGACTCTACTTACAACAACGAAAGATAACCACAGTGAACATCCTGGGATTGGATGTCCAGTATCTTTTTAAAATGTGTATTCAATTTTCCTTTTCAAAAGTATACACACATTTATGTGAAAAAGTATGATTTACTTACCATTTTATAGCCTTTATTGCCACCTCCACCTTTTAAAAATACTACTTTATAGTCATGTGAAAATAGCAGATCAATAGTGAATCATTCTCAACAGGGCAACAGTTTATATTGTAGTCTTACCACTTAAAAAAGCAACAAACAATGGAGTATAACATGGTGATTAGCAAGGCAGACTGGGCACGCCTGCAGAGCATGGGAAAGCTGAAGAATGAATGAGGAAGCCCTTTAATGGTATTGGGATGGGGAGATAGAGATTGCCCATCCCCTAAATGTTGGCTCCCTGGTAGGTTCACTTTGAGATGATAAGACACGTTGTGAATTACTTTTTTTTCAGATTCATCAAGTCAAGCATATTTTTTTAATAGACACCAATGAGGAGAAATTTATTTATTTAAAAAAAATTTTGAGATGGGATTGTACTCCATCACCCAGGCTGTAGTACAGTGGCATGGTCATGGCTCACTGCAGCCTCAACATTCTGGGCTCAGGTGATCCTTCCACCTCAGCCTCCCGAGTAGCAGGGACTACAGACATGTGCCACCACACCTTGCTCATTTTAAAATTTTTTGTAGAGATGAGGTCTTACTGTGTTGCCCAGGCTGGTCTCAAACTCCTGGCCTCAAGCAATTCTCCTACCTCAGCCTCCTCCCAAAGTGCTGTAATTACAGGCGTGAGCTGCATGCCCAACCCTGAGGAGAAATTCAATTTCTTCTTTTTTTAACATAACCTAGGAAATTATAACTAATTCCATAGACAGCCATCATTTTTTGACAATAATTTTTTACAGGCCAGCTCAAGGCTGTTCATAGATGTCTGTGGACCAGGGTCATTCTGTCAGCTCTACATAGCAGGTCCCCAATATCAGTCAACACTTGCAAATTCAAAAATCCACTGGTGATTGAGGAGAGAGATACAAATCTATCAATTATGGGCTAGACAATAGTCCCATATCTGTGGAGTAGCTCTGGCCTCGTGCCAAGTTCAAGGCAGCCATGGTTTCATAGATACGGTTGCCAAGCGTACCAAGAGGAGACTGAGAGCCCTCGTTCACAAAATAGCAGCGACGTCGTTTCCCCACTTCCACAACACAGTATCTCATTTGACAAGGGCACAGAGCTGGGGCAGTCTGTGTCATGTGGGAGCAATGAGGTTTGGTGCTTGGTAAAATATTTCTTGGTGTGTTTGGGGGTGAGGGAAGTGAGGTGTGTGTGCTTAGTCAAGTCAGGAGCTCAGGTTCATTGTATCTAGGATTGGGGACAGGCCCCAGAGCTCTGTCACCGGCAGGCCCCTGTCTCCAGCACACTCAGTCAGGCAGCTCGTGGCGCTCTGTGGGCAGTTTCCTTGAGGTTATCGAGGGAACTGAGGTGAAATAGGGAAGCCACTTTGAAGAACCACAATATGGAAGATGAGTTAGACATATTCGGTCTGATTTCGGAGGGCAAAATTAAAGCTCTTGACTAGAAATGATAGGAAGACAGGTTTGACTTGATATCATAACATCTTGCCTTTATACGGTGCTTCACAAATTCCTTTTACCTGATTCCATTTTGATTTCTCACAAGCTGTGATGGGGAGTATGCAGCTCAGAAAATTCAAGCAAGAACTTCCTAAAACTGAGAATTGTCTAAAAGCCAGACCCGGCATGGTACAGTGGTATGCATTGCAGCTTGGATCTGCCCAGGCAGGGCCTGCAGAGCCCCTTGTTGCTGGTGACACAGACGCCTGTGGTGCAGTTGTTTATCGTCTTGTTTATCTCATGTACTACATGCCATCTTCTGTCCATCTTCCTTGACACCAGCCACTCGTCAGAGACCGTCTTTGCTATGCTGGTAGGGGCATGTGCACTGGGCATCCCCTTCCCTGCTGGCCTCTCAGGCCTGCCATAGTGCATCCCCTGTGCTTCTTGCTTACCCTTTTCCCCCAGCTGTCTGTTCCCGTAATGCACTGCTCCTGCAAATGTGTGAGGACCACTTGTGCCATCTCTTCCCATTGAGTGATATCACAGTATGGTTTGAAATCCTGCAGTGGGAGTATTGACACCAGGGAAATTGAGGATGCTACAGCTGAGAATCCCATTGACTTATGTTGTTTATATGACAACTTCTGCTAACTTAGAGTCCAAACTTCATCTTCATGTCAAAATGTGGCCTGTTGTTGACTGAGGTGGGCAAGTCATCACTATTTATTTTTTATTCTCACACACAAGTAATGCTTGGAAGGGACTAAAGTAGACTATAAAATGCATAAGGAATAAGAGTTTTATTTCCAGGGCCAAAGGAATGAAATTTTACCCCCGGCTGGGGGTAAACTATTACCTTGCTAAACTATGGTGTGTGGCCATGTGCTCTTTGAGCTATGACCAGACCATGTTTCCTGACTTTGGCCCCCTTCCTTACCTTGGGGAGGTGAATCTTCTCTCTCTCTCTCTTACTTTTAAATAAACTATATTTTCTAAGCTAAAAAAAAAAGAAATTTTAACCCCAACAAAACTGCAACAACTTTTATATTCATAAAAACACACTGTGTATTATGATTGTAACAACTGGGAATATGTATATATCTATACAGTCTTTTTTGGGGGAAAAGGCAGGCTGCTAATTTATTTTATGGTTAATCTCAGGATCCTTGGTGGTATAATTATTGTGAGGTTAAAGTTGAGAATCAGTGAAGTAAGTAGTTTAAATTCCTTTTCTATGAAACCTATAGGATTCTGATAGAATGTTTATTTAGGCTGAGATGTTTATTATGACTTCATTGTACTGAAAATTGTCATATTTGAATTTTTTAACAGATCAGGGTCCTCATGATCAACCAAAGAGAAGAAGAATTAGAAAGCATAAATCAAAGAAGAATTTGAAAAATCCCAATAATGTTCATGTAGAACAAGCAGGATTAGAGAAACAGCAGAGTCCTTTACAAGAAAAATTACAGCCACAGCACACAGATGGCTCCATAATAAGCAAAAATAAAAAAAGAAAACTGAAAAAGAAACAGCAAATTAAAAAGAAGAAAGCAGCTGGCTTAGTGGCAAAGGCCTCTGGTGTCAATTTTATGTACCAGCCAGAGGAGAGCAGTAGTGAACAAGAAGATGTGGGAGACGATGGAGAAGAGGGCATAGACGCCGATGAGGAAGACACCAGAGATGCCAGAGAAGGAGACGTCAGAGACACCAGGGAGGGAGACGTCAGAGACATCAATGAAGAAAACATCAGAGATGCCAATGAGGAAGATGCTAGAGACACTGGAGAGGGATATGTTAGAAACACCAGTGAGGAAGATGTTAGAGATGCCAGGGAGGGAAATGTTAGAGATACTAGTGAGGAAGAAGATATTACAGATGCCAATGAGGAAAAAGTTACAGACACTGACGAGGAAGATGTTAAAATTACCAATGAAAAGGCAGATAGTATCCTAAACTTTTTGAAGTCAACACAAGAAATTTATTTTTATGATGGTACGTTTTTTGCTGTTTTTCTTTTGCATAATGAAATCCACTTAAAAATAATATGGAGAAAGAGCTGAGTGCAGTGGCTCACACCTATAATCCCAACATTTTGGGAAGCTGAGGCAAGAGAATTGCCTGAGCCTAGGAGTTCGAGGGCAGCCTGGGCAGCATGGCAAGACCTCATCTCTACAATAAATAAAAAAATTAGCTGGGTGTGGTGGCACATGCCTGTAGTCACAGCCTACTTGGAAGACTGAGGCAGAAGAATTGCCTATGCCCAGCAGGTCGAGGCTGTGGTAGCCATGATCGTACCACTTACACAACAACCTGGGCAACAGAGTGAGACTCTGACTCAAAAAGAGAAAAAATTAGAGAAAGAAGGAAGCATGGTAAAATATTTAAATGTTTAAAGAATAAAACACATTTAAATATTCAAAATAGTTAATTTAAGGCAAAGATCAGAATATTTGAATTCCTTCTACCAATGGAATGGATGAACTTGCTACTCAGGGCACATCCAGGGGGGGAGTGTGGCTCCAGACATGGGCTGGCCTCACATTTTTCATCCCTTTACCTCCAGATTTTGGACTATGTTGGTATTCTGGGCTGTGTTTCTAAATAAAGGATAATCCAGATTGGAGCTTTTGATGAGCTCACGTGCATCTTCGTGAGCCGATCGAGGTAAAAGAAGCACAACTTGCTACTTTGAATTTCATTTTACTCTCCCACACACAACTTACTGATTTAAGATTTTCAGTAAGCATTTTTGAGCAACCATCTGTATTGATATAAGATATGAAAAATGAAAGTAGACTTATTCTCCCAGATGGTGATTGCTGGTGTTTGCATGTGCTTTTTGCTGGTCGCCCTAAAGGTCAGGAAGGAACAAATGCTGGTAGCACCTGGTCACCCAGGACAAGGTGCTCACAGTAGGCTGACTTCCCACTATGATGACATACAGTGGAATGTGGTTCAGGGGAATGTGGTAGGTTTAGGTGGTAGATCTGGACTTCAGCAAGACATTTCACAGTATTCTTCTGAACAAGACTGAGAAATGTTGACTGTGTAATAATTTGAGAAGTCAGTAATTAATTGAAACAATGATGGAAATACAACATTATTGCTAGATTAGTTTTAACAAAGAAGATGTCATTAACCCTTTCCTCTTTAGAATGTTCATCAGCAGTTTGTACTAACAAATTGAAAACATATTAATACCAATGATAGATATGAGAAAACATAGCTAATACTGGCAAAATGGAAGTAGGATCCAGAAAGAGCTCAGTCAATTTTCTATTCTGTCTATGATAGAGTAGCGTGTCACAGACCAACAATCATTCCAAGAGTAACTAAAATCATATTAGAATAAAAATTTGTTGAAGGAATCAACAAGCTACTGAAGAAGACAAAAATCCCCAAAACCACATGGGGACATGAGCCAACCATCTATAGCCACTTTTCCTTCAGTTCTGGATGTGGTTGGGCCAGCATCTGGGGAAAGGACTCGCAGAGCCTTTGTCAGCCTCACAGGTCGAGAGAGACAAAAAGCAGAGCATCCAAGGGCTGGTAAGAGAGGAGTTCAGAGAGTGGAACTCAGCACACTATTGACTTTCCCTCGGAGCCTTTGCTGAATTCTAAGACTGTGGGTAGAGGGTAAAAATCCAAAGAAGGAGCCTCAGGACAATAGTGGGCCTCATGGCTATCTTGAGGTGCTGGGCAGGTAAGGATCAGCCTGATCCTCGAGCCAACACAGCAGGCCATGTCTTCAGAGTAGGCGGCCCAGGACAGATGATCCTTCCCCAGATGTGCAGTCACCTGAAGTCAGCTGAGTCCCTGGGTGGGCCAATGACCTGCTCCACTCTATTACCTGGCAGAGCCCAGGGTGAGCCCTCTGGAGGAAAATGACATTATCTTAGATTTCTGTGATTTTTCATACACGTTCAATAAAAATGCACCAGGCTTACCACAAGACAGGGCCGCAGAACCAAAAACCATGAGAAAAAAAAAAAAGCAGTAGATACTCAAGTAGAAATTCTAGTCCTGAGAAAATATAAGAACTGAATTCAGTACTCAAAAGATGAGTAAACATCAGATAAGAGTTAGCATAAGAGAATTCGTAACAGGGAAAACAGGCCTCAGAAAGCCTCCAGAATGAAGAGAGGAGCAAAAGGGGATGGAAAGCCAGAGAAGAACCCAGCAGACATGGGCACAGCAGGAAGGTCCTGTGACCATTAAGCTGGGCTCACATGGAGAGGAGAGAGGGTGGGACGGGGCAGGACCTAGAGAGAGGGCAGTGGGGTTGTCGGAGCTAATAAAAGACACAGAGTCACAGGTTCAAGAGGTTCTGCTAGCTCCAAACAGAGTTCATACCAGAACCACCACATCTAAGCACATTGTGGTAAACTGCTGAAAACCAACAACAGAAATCCTGAAAAGCATCCAGAAAAAACAAGACCAACACCCAGACTAGTGGTTGGCCTTGTGGTGGAAACAACAAAGTCAGGGTCATGTTTTCAGAGTTCTCCTGGACTTTTCCTAAACAGCAACAGTCTTTTTTTTAAGCCACATGATGTGGAAATGGAGAACTTGATCCACTGTCCAGTTTATCCGGCTGCTGCTGAGAATTTTGAGCTGCATATGGTTCCGGGATGGTGTTTATAAGATCAGACGCATAGACGGAGCACAGGTTTCCGCTGTCATGTTTTGTTGTCCTCATTTACTTTTCAAAGTTCTGTTCTGATTGTCTCCTGGTGGCTGTTTATCTCCCTGACATCTCATTCTGCATGGAAGCGTATGCTTCAGGCTTTCTCTAAGAGATGAAAGCTTATCTTCAGTTTATAAAAATAAAGTGACACCGCTAAGTGATACTGACTTTATTTAGGTGTCTCCAGAGACTCGAGTCCAGCTATCTGTGTGGAGGCCACCGAAGAACTGCTCAGCCATCTTGCGTCCCACCGCATGTCACCCTCGGATGTGTTCATTCTGGATCACATGAAAACGCTGCTACTTGTGCAAGATATCGAACGATTGAAGAGTGCCCTGGACATGTTCCCAGAACACTGCATGATGCCTCGTGGTAAGTATTGCACAGTTTATTCCTGGTCCTACTTGAAGTACTCTTGTCAAGGTTGCCTCTAAACCCACAGCCCACCAAAACAGAAGTGAGTCGGAAAGTATAGACTACACACATGTGGCTTGGAAGGATAGAGTCCCACAGAGAAATAGCTTTCTTGTATCTCTGCTTGATACAAAAATATTTCACATAATATATGCAGAAATGCATGTGCAGTCTAATTTTCTAGACTCAGGAGCTATCAACTGGTAGAGCCAAATGTTCATAAGTTTAAATAGAAGTGAAAAAATGTGTTTCTTCCCCTTTTCCTTCTCTGCTGGATTGGTAGGAGGTAACTTTTTCCTGCCCTCTGCCTTATCAGACCCCTCCGGTTAGAAGGGGCATGACAGTGATTTCTCGTGCTTCTGTCCTTTGCCTTCCTTGGTGTCCCTTCCATGCAATCTGCATTGTGTTGGAGCAGCTAGGCGTGTCTCCCCAATGACATGTGCAGTGAGGATATTTAGGCCCAGAAGTCTGCTAACACTAAAAGTCAGAAACCCATGGCTTTCTCTTGAGAGCCACTTCACCTGCACCCACGGTATGCAGAGCAGCACACCTGATCAGAGCAAACACACAACACGTGCCGGAGTGAGAGAAGGGGCGTGGGAGGCTCTATGGATACCTGGAAGGAGTTTTAACCTAAGTGTAGTGCATGGTGTCCATCCTCAGAAACCTTATGGGGTCGCTGGGGAGTCAAGATGCACATATTTAAAAAGCCAGATAGCAAATCAAGTTATATAGTATTAAAGCAACCACAGCGTGGTGCTGGCTCAGTCAGCAAGTCACATCAGGGCCACAATGCTGAACTTATAGGCTCAAAGTCATATGGGTTGGGGTCACCAGGAGGAAGCACCTCATGTGTCCTGAACTACCTAATCTGTAAGGAGACATTTATCTCTGGGCTGTGGGGCCTATGGGTGAGGAGGGCTTTGAGGACCCACCCTTGGGTGTTTCTGCCCTAGTGGATAAGTCAGAGAAGAAGCAGGATAAACAGAGAAATTTGTCCTAGAGCTCACAGAGATGCGCCTCTATGAAGCAAGCTGCACCCAGGATGGGTGTGGAATAGCAGAAGATGAGAGGTGCCAGTCTGGGCCCTGCGGGTATACTGGCATGTGGGCTTTTATCCAGAGAGAAATGGGAAGTGACCGGAGACTGTGTGCAGCAGGTCCCTGGGCCCTGCATTCAGGCTAGATGGAAGGAGTCAGGGCAGACCAGATGGGGCCTTCTCATTCCCTGGGAGAGGTACCTGCAATGTGGACAGGCAGGCACAGGAGGAGGAGGGGAGATGTGGCCAGAACCAGTAGGATTCTAGTCACCAGGAGTGTAGTCACCAGGGAGGAGGAGGGATTGTCAGTGAGAGGCCCTGTAGGAGCTCATTACTGACAGCTAAGCGAGGCCCATTCAGACCCCCAGTAGAGCTGAGATCAGCAGCCCTGGGCAGAGCATTGGGGCCAGGCTGCAGGGAAGAGAGGAATCAGGAACCAGTCGGCCTCCAGGGATGAGGAGAGGCAAGACTGGGGGAGGCACGTCTGGTTCATGGGACATGTGAGCCACTGAGTGGCCACACACCTGAATAAGAGGCTCCTGTGGTCACAGGACCAGCGGCATTTAGCCCCAGGCTGGCACTTATTTGTTTTTGGTTGGTTGTCAGGCCTAGATCTCCTTAATAAAACTTTGTCTCAAATGGCAAAAAGCCAGTTTTATTAAGTCAGACAAATATGTGATATTTATGAGAGATGAAAATGAGTCATTTAACATTTTAAATTTTAAATATTAAAAATTTTGATGCCATTTCTTACAGTCAAGTATTCTGAGATGCATCAGGAGTTTTGATGGGGGAATTTAGCAGAATCCTCAATACTAAAATCATTGGTTTCTTATATTAAAATCACTGCACAAGTTTTATCTAAAGTACATTTACTTTGAGCAATTGATAGAACTAGACCTTCTGTGTGAACCTCTTTTCTGTAAAAACAGATTCCCTTTAAGTGCATATAAGATGTGCATTAGAGCAGGAGTCCCTAGTCCCCGGGCCACAGACCAGTACTGGTGTGTGGCCTGTTAGGAACTAGGCCGGCCACACAGCAGGAGGTGAGTGGTGAAGGGGCAAGGAGAAGCAGAGCTCCTTCTTCTGTCAGATCAGCTGCGGCATTTGATTCCACAGGAGCGTGAACTCTACTGTGAACTGCATATGCGAGGGATCTAGGCTTCACACTCCTTATGAGAATCCAATGCCTGATGATCTCCCTTCACTCCCATTCATGGAAAAATTGTTTTCCACCAAACTGGTCCCTGATGCCAAAAAAGTTGGGGACCACTGCTTTAGAGTTTTTCTGTGTCAGGCTATTTTATGAAATAAAATTGTATAAACAATGAAGCTGTTTTCAAATATTGTATTTGTCTAATGCAGAGCTGACCTATATAACTTTTTGACATTGTTTTCTTCATGAGACTAGCTTATGAGGTTTCCTTGGTAGTAGTATCTCTCATCTCTGTAGAGTTTTTCCTCCCTGTTGAAACTCCTCTCTTTGCTGGCTCAGTCATTGCTTTTCCTCGATCATAGATGCTTCATTCAACTAGGTTGTAGATAACTGGTGTCCTCTAAAATGGGTTGCGCTCTCTTATTTTGTCTTATTATACCCATGTTATCACACACAGCAGCTGCCACTTGCTCATTATTTGTTGCATCCCACACACTGAGAGGGTGCTGTAGGAATTTCCAATGTAATCCCCCTTGAATCCTCTGTGTAGACTTTGGGTTTCTGTTATCATGACTATTGAGGCTTTTGAGGGTCAGGCAGTTTGCCTCTGGGTGGGATGGAGTTTGCTGGGGAACCTTGGAGGTACACTTCTGTGGGCCTCTGGGTGGGATGGTATCTGCCCAGGAACCTTGGAGGCATGCTTCTGTGGGCCTCTGGGCAGGATGGCGTCTGCCCACGTGCCCCTCCCATCACCACCTCCCTCCAGGTCCCCAAGGAACATGTCTTCCACAAAGTAAAACTCCACTCCTATGAGTCTCTGGGCAGGGTGGAGTCTGCTGGGGAACTGTGAAAGGGTGCTCATGTGGTTCTCTAGTCAGGATAGCATCTGCCCTGGATCCTTGGAGGAGGCACTCCTGTGGGTTGGCAGTGAACCAGAGCTCCTCTCTGGGCTATCCTAGGTCTGGTGTGGGAGTGATACCCTTGTGCTTGCAGCAAGGGCCTGAACCCTAGGCAGTCCTAGGATCTGAAGCAGATGTGGGAAGATTGTGCATTTGTTTTGCTCTCTCTCACCTAGGGCTTAGTGTGACTTTCTGTGGCTATTAACTTTAGAAGTAGTAGATTCCAGGTGCAGCATTTGAATAGTGTCTTGACAGGTCATGAGGCCTGACATTTGGGAAGAACCTTTACTCACAGCTGTCCTTCTCCCATGAAGCTGTAAGAGGGTTGGCGGTGACATCTAAGACAAATTGTGTTCTTGGTGGTTTGCTTTTAGCTATTCCTGACTTCACACTGGCTTTTGGGTTGTGTGAGTGCTGTGCAGTCCCATACTGTAAGATTCCACTTCTAACTTTTTTCAGTTGTTCACCTTTGACATAAACTTTTATTTCCTTTTAATTTCAGTTTGTATATGGTTTTCTTTCAGATCAGATTTTAAGCCCGGTATTTTTGAAGTTCAGGTCTAATAGAACTAGTGAACTGACAGGGTTCATGCCCAAGTGCAATACAGATATTCAGAAGCAGTCTGCTGTTGTGCTATATTTGTTATGTAACATGTGACTCATGAGTGTGGTATGCTACTAGCTACTTCACTTTGGGCCCAAAGGCAAATATCTGCAGAATAATGGTATGTTTTTTGCTAATATCTGCAAAAATATTAACTTATGCTTTTTCTTTTATGTTTTTGTTTTATTCTGTTTTATTTTTGTTTTGTTTTTGTTTTTTTGCTTTCCAGAGCATGCCAGAGTAATCTCAGCTTTCTTTAATTACTGGATCACGCATATCCTTCCTGAGAGAAACAGTGAATAAAATCAGAATAAAATCTTTAAGAAGAGCTAATAATTTAACACAAAAACACATAAGACAAATATGAAATGGGCTGAGTTAATTCTTATGTATAAAAAAGGTTAAATTGCAAATATTTTGTTTGTAACCCAAATCCTGGGAACTTGGAAGACATTTCTGCCATATTATTTATTCATGTATTTGTACATAATGAATAGGATGTCATCTGAGGCTTTAGCTAAGAAACTGGGGTAAAATTATTTGCAATTATGTATACCTTGAAATACTACATAAAACCTGATTCTGTTTTTCCAGTTCTTGTAAAAATTGAAAGTGGACATTCTGTTACATTAAATAAACCGTATAGTTTGAAGCTCATATATTTTCATAAAGTTTTAAATCACTTGGTATCTGAAAGTCTCTGTCTTTAAGAATGCTTTCTGGATATTAAAAAGTTCTAGTTTAAGTGTAGTTGAATTTTTTCTTTTTTCCCACTTCTCTACTTTGAGAATGATATCAAGAACCTGTTTATTCTTTCTTTTTTGTCATAGTAGTCACCAGTTTTTAGTATTACTGAGCATCAACTAGTATGACATTTGGAAGGGTATTGGCTCTATCCATGAAAATAATAGCTTTACATGACATAAAATTTGCCATTTTAACCATTTTTAGGTGTGCAGTGCAGCTGGGATTATGCTCTCCATGTCATGCAGTGAGCACCACTGTCGTCCTTTCTATGGTTAGAATTGTTTTGCTACACATGTACAGCCACACTGTGCTTGTCCACTCATCTGCTGGTGAACATTTGGGCCGTCTCCCCATTTGCCTCCCTCGAACAGTGCTGCTACCCACCTTCATGGACCAGGAGCCATGTGCACACTTGTTTTCATTCCTCCTGGGAATAGAATTGCTGAGTCTTATGGGGACTGTGTGATTAATTTCTCGAGGAACTGCCATATGCTTTTCCACAGTGGCTGCACCACGTTAATGTTCATCGGTGAGGAGGGTGCAGTTCACCATATCCTCCCAACACTTGTCCTTCATTTTCTTGATCACAGGCATCCTGAGAGGCGTAATGTGGTGTGTCCTGGGGTTTTACTGTTGGCCATCTGTGTGTCCTTGGAGAATTGTTAGTTCAAGTCACTGCCACCTAATCTGCCTTCACCCAACAGGCCATCACACCAGAGCCCTGTGTGGAAGGAGGGGAAAAGAAACCCGGACATGCCGGGGCTTTCTCCGTGGCCCCTCCCGTCACCACTTCCTTCCAGGTCCCCAAGGAACATGTCTTCCACAAAATAAAACTGCTGGAAACAGGGTGAAGCAGGATCGTTACTGGTTCTAGAAGTTGTCACCTGGGTCTAGTGACCGTGCAGTGAATGCTTCACAGAGGTCTCAGACCTCAAGCAACACGGGCAGCCAGGTGCGAGTCACCTATAGGTCACCGTGTCACACTCTTTCTGTAGCTGAAGACAGGATCAACAAGGCTTTCGGGGGAAAGGCCACACCAGAAGCCTTGGGGGCATTGCAGTCCTGCTTTCCTGATGGTCTTAGGGGAGACGTTATCTTCTGCTGTGGGGTGTCCTGCCCACCCTCTGCCTCCCCTCCTCCCAGCACCCGGAAGTCAGTGTGAAGTATCGGCGTGGTCAAGGGCCCCCTCATCCCACAGCAGCTGAGACCGGTCTTCTGCCTGCTCCAGGGGCCTCCGTGGCCTTGTGGAACTTGGGTTCTCAGAGAGGATCAGACTGCAGACCTCCTGACAGTGCCGCTTAATTAACAACATGTGTTTTGCCCATATGGAAATAAATTAAATATTGACAAACTCATAATTTTCCTATTAACTCTGAACATCCAATTTGCGTTTTTAATTATGAACCATTTGCACCTTCTCCGTGCCCAGCAAGTGAATACACTATTGATGTAGTATAGACCCTTTACTTGGTTCCATGGAATCCCTGTAGACTCAAGTCTTTCTTCTGTAACCTCATGTGATTTTACTTTGTGACACTGTCAACGTCCATGTTCCTGACCCTAAGAATATAGAGTTACAGTTGAACGGATGGGATATTCAGAGTCAATTGTGTGTATCTTTCTAATTCCAAAAAGAAAACTGCGTCTTCTAGAAAGCAAATGCAAACAAGTCTTATCTCTAATATGTCCACATAAATATGATAATCTGTTTCTCCCACTGTGATTGAAGTTGAATAATAATTTAATCCATTTATCTTCTACAATAGTGTAGAATATTCATTCAGTCCATGTAATTTATTTTCTGTAAACCACATCAATTAAGACAAACAGAAGGAAGTTTTGGAGGAGCTTGAGGAATTGTTATTAGGTTGCTGATCTGACACAACTGTGCCTAAAAGGAGAAGCCTTATACATTCTGAACCCATCACCGCTGCTTGCACCCTGGGACCTCGGCCTCATGTCTACACAGCTTGAGAGGTGAGGGGTTTGTGCGAGCCTGTCTCTACTTTGCTCCCCAGCCTGGCTGCTGCCGAGCTTGAAAACAGAACTGTGCTGAGTACAAAAGACCCCCAGGGCCCACTTGATTAATTCTGGGCTTTTCTCTGTCCAGCTCTTGCCCTGAACTCTTGAGGTCATGTATCCTCAAGACCCATGACCTTTCACAGAATCGGATGAATGTGTCTGACCTGCTGCAAAACAAGAACTGTGCACATGTCCGTCCCTTCACCACACAGCCTCAGGCATAGCCTTGAAGATGTTGCAGGTCTCTGAACTCTATTCCACAGGGTGTGGCGTGTACACAGTGGCTTAAAAGGATACCACTTGCCACCTCAGGGGGTCTGGGGATGGGGATCTGTCCAGACTGGGACCTCAGGGGCCTCATGGGCTACGGATGGAATCCTGTTCCTGGGGTTGCAGGACTGAGGCTCTGCATCCTTGCTGGCTGTGCCATGCTGGCTCCTGGCTCCTCCATGAGGCCTTCCCAACCTGGCAGCTTACTTCCAGGCAGCGGAATAATCCCTTTCATCTTGAGAACCTTTGTCAGGACCGCCTGGGGAATCCGCCTTTTGCTTCATTTAAAACTAGATACTAGCCAGGCTCGGTGGCTCAGCCTGTAATCCTGCGCCTTGGGAGGCTGAGGTGAGTGGATTGACTGAGCCTGTGGGCAACTTGGTGAGACCTCATCTCTACAATAAATCAAAAAATTAGCTGAGTGTGGTAGCGCATGCCTGTAGTTCCAGCTACTTGGAAGGCTGAGGTGGAAGGATTGCCGGAGCCCAGCAGGTCGAGGCTGTGGTGGCAGGGAGCGTGCCACTGCACTCCAGTCTGGGTGACGGAGAGAGACTCCAACTCAAAAAAGAAAAAAAAAAACCAGATACTACAATGACAGCTGCAAAATCTTATCACAGTGACAATCCAGTGTTCATAGGCATGTGTGGGCATGAGAACACAGTTGAGAGGTAGGGACAACACGAGGGAGCCCAGCTACCACCCAGGACAGCTACTTAGGCCCTGTGTGCAGGACCTCTCCCATGTCCCTACCCCACATCCCCACCCGAGCACAGTCCTGTTGCTGTGACTCATGCAGTAAGGTGACATGGGGCTGCCACCCCTATCTTGGGGGTCTTGAGATCAGGATTCTCGTGAGGGTCTGGTGAGAACACACTCCCAGAAGAGAACAGACAGACAGATGAGCAATTGGCAAGATCTGTCAATGATCCCTGTCCAGATGACCCTGTCAGTGGGGAGTCCCTGCGTGTGAATGTGCGGAGCCCGCTTGATAGAGTACACACCCGCCTCAGCTGGAGCTAAGAGGGGTTGGGCCAGTGGACACAAGAAAGCAGCTGCCCAGCCACCTTCCCAGCATCCTTTGGTGGGGGTAGGGGGCTTCCAGGCTGTGCCGTGGGGACTGGTGAGCTGTTTGGTTTGGCCATTGAAGCCAAAGGAAAGGCCTGGAGGAGGCAGGCATGGAGTTCTTCCAAGGGTCCTCAGAGGAGGGAAGCTGAAAGCCTTTGAAGGTCACTGTCACAGGTAGACATGCCAGAGGATCTAGGGAGTCTGCTGGGAACCTGAGGGGCTGCCCAAGTCTCTGACACTCATCTTCAAATGAGAATGCCCCTCTGGAGTCAGTGGGAATCATTGGTGGACTTGAGACAGACAGCCATACAAATCAAGGATAATGGGGCTCCCAGGAAGAAAAGGTGATGGGGCAGAATCCCCTCAGGTTCCCAGTTGTGGCAGCCATGGAGGTGCCAGAGCCACAGGGCAGAGGGTGCAAGGACACTGCGGTGGGCCCAGTACTTGTTGGTGATGCATGCGGTGGTTGTAGCGAGTGCTGTATCAAAGACTGCATCTGGCACAACTCTGACATCATCTGAATCTCTGTATTCCCACATTGTCACAGTTCGTGATTCCACAAAGCAACGTACACTTTCCCTGAACCCTGGGTGCGGCCAAATCCCCATCAGACAGTCACATTCCTTACTACACACGATTTTTGCCCAATAAGACTGTCCACATGTATTAAGCTCCTGCTGTGTACTTGTCCCTTTGGAGATGCTGAGATGCCAAGGATGTGCCCGCCATGTGTGGGATGTCAGACCTTGGTTTTCTCTCTGAGCCCACTTTTTGACTCCTCTTTCCTTTGGAATTGTCAATCAGGATAAACTAATTCAAGTGTAAAAAACAATCCCTGGCTACACGCGCAGGGTTCCCATGCTTACCTGCTGTGTGCGTGCCTCGTCACTCATAGATCTGCCCATCTATGGAGAGTGGGCAGATGCTTGGTAAAGGATTTGTCTTTTTTTCCCCTCAAACATTTAAACCTTTTTTTTTTTTTAACCTAACTGGACAGTTTTTTAGTAAAAGGCCACACTCATTTCTTCAACATGGAAGAAAAGGATAACTATGAAAAATACAATTGTGCAATGTATCTATGTGTTGGCTGCACTGAGAGAAAAAAAGAAAACAGAACACAAAACTTGCTTGGACTATCCTCAAGATCAGATTGGAAACAACCAAAAGCTTCTCCATAAACAAGAGCTCTGCTGTGAGGAGACAGACCCAGAAATCACATGGAAGGTAACCAGAAAACCAGTTGGGCACTCACTCCCTACCCCACAATCCTCCTCTGGGAATTTATTCTGAATCTGCATCTCAAACAACTGAATATATATCTATAGTTGTCCCTCCAGCATCAACAGGGGAGGGGTTTCAGGACCCCTGATGGTACCAAAATTCTTGAGTGCTCAAGGCCTTGATATAAAATTGTATATGTAACCTACACACATCCTCTTGCATATTTTACATAATCTCTAAAGTATTTATAATACCTAATACAATGTAAATGCTATATGAATAGTTACACTGTATTTTCTTAGTTTGTATTTTTTGTATTATTGTTTAGAAACTTGTTACTTTTACTGTTTTTTGTTTTTTTTTTCCAAAAAAATATTTTGAATCCACAGTTGGTTGCCTCTAAGGATGTGGAAACTGTGA